TGCCTGCCTGAACAATCTCATGTGACGAGTACTCATTCCGAACGAATTTCCCAAGCTAGACTCTTGCTCCGTTGACCGTTGATGCGCACTGGCATGCCGTAGGACGGCGAACCTACCGACCGGCCGGCCACCTTGCGCCGGCTCGCAGCAACTTGCAAGACCAAGGGCCGAGTTGGCAACTGTACATGCAAGGGCCGGGGCCATAATCCCTGAGGGTGAGAGAGTTGCGGGGGGCCACCATCTCGGCCAAGGTTGCCAAGATCCAGGCTCCGATGTGCAACGTCCAGCCACTCAACGTACGCGCAGTCCGCACCGGACCCTTGCCGGTGCCGAGTTCAAGTGGAGATGAAGCTGCAGGTCTGTTGGACCGGCCAGGTCATCTTCTCTCTCTCCTGTGACTACTGAGTACTCTATGGGTATGTGAGTGCCTTTTTGTGTTGTGCTAACTACAAAGTCCATGAGACTCTTTGGCAACGGCTCCGAGCATGGCAACCTCGCCTCCAGGATTGCCCCTAACCCATCATCTCCCACGAGGAGGTCAGCATTGTTCATCTCCCTCGGACGGGGCCTCGTCTCTGGTAGGATACACTTCAATGCCTGCTATCAACGAGCACATTTGACCAATTCTGGAACCCCGGGCGAAGGATGCTTGCCACGCATCCGCCGCTATCAGTTGCTCCGGAGAGAAGTCTCGGCCGTCAATATTGGGCTCTTCCTCGTTCTTGTCCCTTTGCCCCCTTCACGCCCCCTCTCTTATGGCCTCCTGAGAAAGGCATGGGTTCTATCCGTACGGATAGTGTAGAATAGCCCTTGCAAACATTGCCTCTCGGCCGTGGACCGTGGATGCTTTGACCTACATCAATACGCAATAAGGTAATGCCTCCCAGACGTACAGCAACACTATTGCCATCGAGCCCACTCCTGCCCGCTATTATACCTCGTCGACCATCGTTCGATTCCCTTCTAGGTGGCATAGCACATGTTGGTTCTCGTCCTTTGCAAACGGGTATCCCACCGCTTCGGCCTCTCTACCGTCTGTTCCCATTATCCAACGGTCCAACGTTCCATTTGCTCATCTCGGTCTCCACGCGTTCACCCCGCTGTTGTCGTTGGAAGAACCGCGAATTAGATCCGCGAGGTCTTATATTTGAAGCACTTCGTCCCATCTCTGTTAATTGTCTCTTACTGCTCCCCATCCGTCCATCAGCAGCACTCGCGTCTGACCCCACGTGGTAACCATGTCTTCGATGCGTTCCCTCTTGACGGCGGCTCTGCTGTCTGTCAGCCACTTGGCTGCGGCCCAGACTATCGTCGTCGACGGTCAAGAAGTTGGTGAGTATTCTACCGTCTATTCAAACCTTCGAAGACTGAGGTAACTGACTTATATGTCCTAGCCGCCGACGCCTCGACTATTGCCCCGGCCGCTGAGGTTGCTGACGTCTCCATCGCCAGCACCTCTGCCGGCCTTTCTGAAGAGGAAAAGCTTCAGCTCACCGATGCCGTCCTTGCCAACCTCACAGCGCTCCAGCTGTCCAACATCTCCCTGTTTGGCTTCGAGGATGGATCTTCGGTCAAAAAGAGATCGCTCTTTGGCCGATGCAAGACCTATCCCGGAGACCTCCTGTACCCGATCGGCCTTGTCTGGGACATCTTCAACCTCCTTCTGGGAGGTGCTCTCACCAAAACCATCCCTGAGGCCTCTGTCTGCTACGATGATTTCGGCAACTACGATCAGGCAAAGTGCGACTTCTTGACCGCCAACTGGGTCAACGGATCATACTACCACACCGAGGACCCCACGGCCATTAACGCCGTCCTCTTTGAGGGCCTCAACTGCATGCCCCCTACCATCAATGTCGGCGAGACCAACTGCAAGGTCGGCGGCCTGCCTTCCTACGTTGTCGAGGCCACCACCGTTGCCCACGTCCAGCTGGCTGTCAACTTTGCACGCAACCTCAACCTCCGCCTCGTCGTCAAGAACACTGGCCATGACTTTGGCGCAAAGTCTACCGGCTACGGTGCCCTATCCATCTGGACACACAAGTTCAAGAACATTGACTTTTACGAGAGCTACCAGCAGGACTCGTACAGCGGTCCTGCTTTCAAGCTCGGCGCCGGCGTCCAGGCGTACGAGATCTACGAGGCTGCCAACAAGTACGGTGTCACCGCTGTCGGCGGAGAGGGACAGACCGTGGGTGTCATGGGCGGTTACGTCCAGGGCGGCGGGCACAGCCCCATGTCCGGTCTGTACGGCATGGCGGCGGACAATGTCCTCTCCTTCGAAGTCGTCACTGCCGACGGCCGCTTTGTGACAGCCAGCGAGTCCCAGAACTCTGACCTATTCTGGGCCATCCGCGGTGGTGGCGGCTCCACGTACGGCGTTGTCACCTCTGCCGTCGTCAAGGCACAGCCCAAGATGAACATCACTACCATGACCTTTGCCTTCTCCAGCGGTGACAACTTGACCACCGACCAGTTCTGGACCGCGCTGCGCTTCTACTTTGACGGCTTTGTCGAGTACGCTGTCGACAACGCCAACTACGGATACTTCCGCATCCAGAACCTCGGCACCTCCTTCGCCTTCGACATGGGCCCTTGGTGGGCACCCAACATGACGAAGACCGAACTTGCTGATCTCGCGGCTCCCCTCTTTGCCAAGTGGGCCGCGATGGGCCTCGTCGTTGAGCCCGTTTACACCGAGTACGACAACTTCTACTCGGCCTGGCAAAACTCGTTCCCGCTGGAGCCCTGGGGATCCAACGCCATCCGCCAAGCCAGCCGTCTCTTCCCCAGAGCCAACTGGGAAGACGGGACCAAGCTCAACGCCACCTTTGAGGCCATCAAGTCCGTGTCCGAGGAGGGCGGCTACATCGTGGCCTTCAACATGATGGCGGCGCCCAAGACGGGGTACCCCGACAACGCCGTCAACCCGGCGTGGCGCGAGGCTGTCATGCACTGCATCACCGCCGCCCTCTGGGACCCGACCGCCAACGAGACCGTCATCAAGACGGCCAGCGATAAGCTCACGTTCGACTGGATGCAGCGCTGGCGCGACGTCTCCCCCGGCGCGGGCGCGTACATGTCCGAGTCGGACTACATCGAGCCCGACTTCACCCAGGCTTTTTGGGGTACAAAGTACGCAAAAGCCCTCGAGCTTAAGAAGAAGTATGACCCCAACGATGTCTTCTACGCGCAGAACGGCGTCGGTTCCGAGAGCTGGGAGATGTCGGAGATGATTATGGGCAACTTGCCTTCGCAGAACAGCAAGTTGTGCCGCAAGCAGTAGTGGATATCTGTTTTATGGTGTTGTGTAATCAAGCCGTCGGGGATATCTTAGGCGGTGTTCGAACTTTAATGTATATATTGCCGCTGTATATAAGAGTGGCTGGCTCGATTAGCTGCTTAGACCTTAGATCGCGGATCGTGAGATGATCTCATGACGCATTAGAATGGCGAACTTTACGTTCTTACTTACCTGTTCGAACCTGACTTTTGATCTAGTCCCATAAGCATGTCTTACTCCGACGAAAGTGACTATGTTTCATTCCTCGCAGTTCTCGTCGCAAGGCAGACGCAAAGCGGATCGCCAGGGTTAAGTCTTGTCCGGGCTGTATTGGGTGAGAAACCTGTCTTCATTGATTGCCAGTGACTTTGCCGGTTCTGAGAGATCAAACTCTTGGTCTCAGTGTATTTATTCGTCGAGGCATTTCAGGAAAAATACAGATAGCCAAATTGACAATAGTGTATATGTGCACAAGTCACATAGCTCCCACGGATAACTAGACCTGCGGCTCTTCGTCTAGGATAGATTGACAATTAGTTTAGAAATAGTATAGAAACAACACCGAAAACCTCCATATTGTAAGTCCATCAGCCTATCAACAATCCAGCCAAAACTGACGAGAGAGTGGGTCACGAGAAAGGCAATCTGAATGAGGTAAAGCCCTTGCGATTCTTATGGTGAGGTTCATCTTGTTCCTCATGTTCATAAAAACGGCAGTCGCCTGCTGAGTGGTTCATAACTGGGACAAAAACTGCTGGCATTGTTGGTATACACGCCAGAAGGGAAAGGTCTCTGGGCCGGTACGAGCTCAATAATCTGCCACTGGCGTAGATATGTATATGGAAGGAGTAAAGAGTGACCGAGGCCCATGGATTCTTTCGAAGTTGAAGTAGGTGCGGAAAGGTCGTTGCAAACGGCCCTTACCGCCTCCAAGTTACCTCTTTTATGCCCTCGTATTCCAATAAGAACGAAAGTGCCAAAGCTCTTATAGCGGTGTAAGAGCAGTGTAGGAGCAGAAAGGAAGCTTGTTATTGGATCTTCAGCCTTTTCTTCGTAGTACGAAGTTACTGAAGATATCAGTGTGAGTATATAGATTAAATATGAGATATAGTGTGCGGAATAGCAAAAGATTCATAGAAATGCTACGGGAGAGGAGAGTGACGGTTTATTTGACTTTGGCGGTGTCATTTTCCGCGGTTTCTGAAGCATTACTTAGGCCACGAAGTGAATAAAGCCGAATGCCCATGGTAGAAGAAAGAGATCAAGATTCCAAAAATAGGATTATTAATGAATGAGTATTCGTGCTGTGGTGGAAGAAAAGCTTTTCTATTGCGCTGGTTGTCTATGCCGTAAAGGTGAGTGTTGCCGAGATGACGCTGGTTTAACGTATTGAGGTAATGATCATCTGGTCTACTAAGTTGCATAAGCAATAAAGACACCATTTGGGACAGTGTATCTTGGGGTTTTGCAGAGTATATTAAGAAGAGATGTTCTGCTATCAAGAGAACGAGCGAGAGGTGGGAAATCAGAAGAGGGCATTGAAAGGAATGAGGCGCAGTATGGCGAATCAGGCATCTGTGCCACCTTCAGATGCACCAATGTTGCCCGACTGACGCTGCTCCCTCCACTCTCACTATCCAGTCTCGAAACCGCGTACAGTAAGCTGTTATTTGCAATTCAAAACCCAAAGGACAGCACAAGAACAACATCTGAAAGCATGTGGCTTGTGAACACTGACAGTTTGGTGTTGGAGGAGGTCTCGAAGCCTTCGTCGATCAAGTATGCCATCCTGTCGCATACCTGGGCAGACGATGAGGTGACCTTTCAAGACTTCCACAACATCGAGCGAAGTGGCGAGAGACATAAGTCCGGGTTCTCCAAGATTCAGAAGACCTGTGAACCTGCGCGCCAACGAGGCCTTCACTATGCGTGGGTGGACACTTGCTGTATCGACAAGTCGAGCAGTGCAGAACTCAGCGAGGCTATCAATTCCATGTTCTCGTGGTACAAGGAGTCCGCCGTCTGCTTTGTCTTCCTGTCGGACTTACCAGCGTCTGAGAGGCTAGTCGAAAAGGTAGAAACGACGTCCGTCTTTTCCTACACCCAAAAGACATTCGCTGCCTGTCGATGGTTCACTCGAGGATGGACTTTACAAGAGCTCATTGCTCCGAGCGAGGTAGAATTCTTCGATTCCCAATGGGAGCAGTTCTCTCGGAAAGCCGATTGCCTTGATAAGCTGGAAGAAATTACCGGCATACGCCGCTCAGTTCTAGAGTCTTCCTCAAACTTACGACAGACTCCAACAACAGTAAAGATGTCCTGGGCAGCATCTCGCAAAACGAAACGCGTCGAGGACCGTGCCTACTCTCTTCTCGGCATTTTCCGATATTAATATGCCAATGATATATGGCGAAAGATCCAATGCCTTCCGTCGCCTTCAGGAAGAGATATCTCGGAAGACGAACGATCTGTCCCTGTTCGCATGGAAGGGCCCTCCCCAGAGTACTGTGGGATCTCAGATGTCTAGAGGTATCTTTGCGAGGTCTCCAAGCGAGTTCAGCTCCTGTTCAACGATGCAAAGGTCTGGCACGAGACAGGACTCACCAAGCGAGTTCACTCTCACCAACAAAGGTGTTCGATTTGAGACGAAGTTGTACAAGTATACAAACGGGGCGTTTGTAATGTATCTGGGGTTTAGAATGCACGACACACCCGTCCGCATTGTTCTCACACGCACACTAGAAGGCTTCGTTCGAAGCGAACCTTGGTCATTGACGTACAAGCCGTCCTGGAACCTATCCAGGGTTCCCACCATTTTCGTATTCCACGTCCAAAAGGAACTTTGAAGAAGATTTTGCTCTGACTCTTGCGTTGGAATGGGCCAGTCCGCGTCAACAGCCCTTCGCCGTACTTTACGGTTCTGATCGGTTGGTGGGCGCTGACAAACTACTAACGACCAGAAACGTCCTCCCGGATAACTTCCCGGACCTTGTCAAAGACGATCTCGACTGGGGGAGTTCGCAAGAAGAGGCATTTGAGAAGGCACTTTTGAGCATTTGCACAAACCCTCGATTTCAGGCTACGGAGGTAGAGTTCGTCACCAAGAAGATAACTGATGGGCAACGTGGCTTTCGCATGGTTAAAGATTACCGCGCCACTTTCAGGGTCGAGTTAGAGACGCACCAAGATCACGACGGTATCATAACCTATCATGCTTCTCTGTCTGGCAAGATCCAAAGAGTGGAGAGTCGCAATGTTATGTTGACTTTGAAATCGACATGATCAGATTCAGCCTGATGGCCGGGAGTTGAGTGTTCTATATCGCTCTATTCTGACTAATACTGAATTTCCTATGCACATCATATTCCAAGGCCGCAATATTTAGGTATCACTGTAGGAGTTAAGACCACCGTTTTTATTTTTAAGGGACCAGTTCACCCGATCTAATGGACTTGGTCGACTATGCAACATTGTATTATTAACCACCGATTTAATGTCCTGCCACATACAGTGTGCTGTAATTCCGGCTTTGGTCGGTTAAATGCATTAAAGGAAACATATGATGGTCAATGGTGAAGCGCCCAAGAGCCACCAGACGGTGAAGATGGAATTAGCGACATTGGGAACCGGGAAGCCGCGCGTAGGTGTATGCTTAAACCTTTCTCTTTTGCGGCGATCCGGTGCCTCTCGTCTCTCTTCCGGAACTAGATTTGCCTAGAGACGTGTCACTCACAACTCCTCGACTTGTCAGCGGAGATGAGTGGTTGTGATGAAAGCTAACGGGAGGCTGACGGGAGCGAGCGACGTGAAGGTACGTACTGACCACCAGACCCGCTTAATTACCACGCTAGTCCAAAACGGAGCAGGCGCATAACCTGCCTTGCGAATTTCAAGGTGACATCTCTCTCATTTCTATCCAAACACAGCTTCACGAAGGCAGCCGATCATCATGGCCTCGATCGCAGCATCACTGGCCTCGGCCCTCCCGAAACCCAAGTACACTGGAGAAGATGAGGAAGCTCCCTCACGCGCTCTGCAACGCGGCCCCCGTATCGTTGGTGCCGGCCAGCTGGACGAGACGCAAATCGTGCTGAAGCGATCGGGCCCTCCACCATACCAACAGCGAGCAGGATGGCGACCGCGAGGACCCGAAGACTTTGGCGACGGTGGCGCGTTCCCCGAGATACCGATCGCTCAATACCCGCTCGACATGGGAAAGAAGGGCGCGACGACCAGCAACGCGCTCGCCATCCAGGTCGACGGCGAGGGCAAGCTCGACTACGGGGCCATTGCGCGTCAGGGCCACGCCGAAAACCGAATCGTTCATACCTCGTTCAAGGATCTCATTCCTCTTCGCCAGCGCGCCGACGCGGGCGAAATCGACCTGAGCCGACCCAGTCAAGAGGAGGTGGAAGCGACGGCGGAAAAGACGAAGAATGCACTGGCAGCGCTGGTCAGCGGTGCCGTAGCCGCCCAGAAGCCAAAGACGCTCAGTGTCGGAAAGCGAAACGATCCGACATTTGTGCGATACACGCCGGCAAATCAGATGGGTGACAACTCGACCAAGCAGGATCGCATCATGAAGATTGTAGAGCGGCAAAGGGACCCGATGGAGCCTCCCAAGTTCAAGCACAAGAAGATTCCCCGCGGTCCACCGAGCCCGCCACCTCCCGTTCTGAGATCGCCGCCACGAAAGCTGACGGCAAAGGACCAGGAGGATTGGCGCATTCCCCCGCCGGTCTCCAACTGGAAGAACCCGAAGGGTTTCACCGTCCCCTTGGACAAGAGATTAGCGGCCGATGGACGCGGACTCCAGGACGTGGCGATCAACGACAAGTTTGCTCAATTTTCCGAAGCGCTGTACGTCGCAGACAGGCACGCCCGCGAGGAAGTCAGACAGCGTGCAGCCATGCAACAGCGTCTGGCAGAGAAGGAGAAGGCGCAAAAGGAGGAGAACCTCAGAATGCTGGCCCAGAAGGCTCGCGAAGAACGGGCCGGCGGCGGCAGACGGGACTCACGATCACGGTCACGGTCACGCAGCTACAGCGGCTCAGACTCGGAAGACTCAGACGGTTCGGAGGACTCTGAGATCCGGGAGAGAGAAAAGGCACGAAAGGAGCGCATGCGTGAGGAGGAGAGGAAGCTTCGCCAGTCACGTATGGGTGCCGAGAGGAGAGTGCAGGTCATGGCAAGAGAGCAAAACCGCGACATTTCGGAAAAGATTGCTCTTGGTCTTGCCAAACCTACCCAGTCCAAGGAAACCATGTATGACTCGAGACTTTTCAACCAGTCCAGCGGCTTCGACAGCGGCTTCAACGAGGACAACCACTACGACAAGCCGCTTTTCGCCGCTCAAGAGGCCATTGGCAGCATTTATAACCCGCGAGCCAACATGGACGATGAGGACGACGAGGCAGCAGGTGATAAGGAAATGGCCAAGATCCAAAAGACCAGTCGGTTCGGCGAGGCTTTGGGTAGGGGGACGTTCAAGGGCACAGAAGATGTCGAGGTTAGTACACCACTTCGAACGAGAGCAAAGGGCAGTGCTAACAAACATTTTTCACAGGCGAGAGAGGGACCAGTGCAGTTTGAAAAGGATGCCGGGGACCCCTTCAACGTGGACAAGTTCCTGTCCGAGGTGGAGCAAAACTCTTCGTCAAAGAGGGGTTACGGTCTTCAGGACGATGATTCTCGGCAGCCGAAGCGGGCGCGAGTAGACGAGGATGATGATTAAACTAGGCCGGTTTTCTTACTGTTTCCATATAGCCAACCAAAAAAGCTTCTTGGCTTCATTGTACGACAAAGTAGGGGACGTTTTTTGGACTGACATCGAGATGGGCGCCCTTATTCGGGGCATCGGAAACAGCCTCGCAAAACGCAAAATTGCAAGGCATAATGCAGAAGTGCAGTACATGCACAAAATCGATTTGAGCCCAAGAGACGTGGTGAAGAAACATTGGATGATTGCGTAGACTTCGTGGGCCCTCTATTGTGTGTTTTAGGGCGGAAATTCTCTTGACTTGTTGGCTTGAAGCCGACTGGATGAGTTGGTGTAGCGACGCTGGCTGTTTCAGGGACAGCGAATTCATGCGGACTTTTATCTTCGGACTGGTTGCGGCAAACTCATGCTTCTCTCTTCCAAGACAAGGCCGAGAACCGGACGAAAGACGGACGGAACCATTTGTTCTGGCACCTCTGGAGCAAACGACTGGGCTGGCTACCTGTTGGGTTGACGGGCCTGCCTTGAAGTCGGTAAAACTTGTCAGAGTTTGGTGGCGGCGGGAGTGACAGTCATGGCCGGCGAGGGGCAGGTCGTGGGGTGTCATTGGTGGTTTGCAAATGTGGCCCGGGAGTTGAACCAAGATCCAAGTTATCAGGCGAGCCAGGGGGGAAAACAAATAGTTGAGACGAAGATCAGGCAGTGTTGTGGGAAACGTGGGTGGTGGCTGGAGCATTGGACGTTCCGGGCCTATAATTAAAGTCTGTATTGTCCTTGGTAAGCTTGGTATGTAAGGTGGTAGACCAGAAGCTTTGGCCGACAGGTTTTCTTGTTGAAACAGTTGCGTTTTCTTGCTCTCGTGGTTTAAGCTCCGAGTCGGAGACGTTTGCCAATGCCTTGGCTGTGAACCAACCGGCTTTTAGGAATATGACTGTTCATGCGTTCTTAAGAAGATAAGAGTTTACTGTTTGGAAGGGTTGCTGGGCAGTTGCGGAGTGTAGCAAAAAGGTGGGTTACTGTGAGATATGAAGTGAGGAGAGTTGGTGTTTTGTTTGAGGCATCGTGAGACGAGAGACAGAGGAGAAAGCAATAGCAGAGGATGGAATGAGAGAAAGAGGCAAGAGCTGTTGTAAGCTTAAATCTATGCCAACCGCCAGCGGGAAGGCTACCAGAGTTTGATCTTACATGCTATAGGTATTTAGGCTTCATGTTCGCATCACGCATGTTGGGCTTTCCGGGCCATATGCGACCCAGTTCAAATGTTCACTCAAACACCTCCAACTGCTCCCCGATGGACAGGTGCGCGGATGTCAAATATGCTGATCAGTTCTCCCGATCTCGTTCCACGAGTTGGGCTGGGGCCCGTTGCAGGAGCGGCAAGCCGAACCTGATCCGAATTCGAGCTGGCGGATCCCCAGGCGCAGATCAATCACGAAATGGTTCGCCGCACATCAGCAGTCGATCTTTCAATGCGGCTCCCAGTCATGTCAGGTACGCGGGCTAACTGTGAGACATTGCAAACCTGGCAGCTGTTCCGTCTATTCTTGCTCATTCCCTCGTTACATTTCATTTCTAGTTCCCGACTCTAGATATCTTTCTGATAGTCGCTCTCGTTCAAGTTCTGTGAAGGAAACCCTCTGAGATCAAAGCGTCGGCATGAGACGAGGGCTGAT